TCCTCGGTACGCCGTCCAGGTTTCGCTGTAGTATAGTAGAAGTAACAGTACCATGGACTTGGGGATATCTCACATATATATTCATATATACCATCACTGTTACTAAAACGTAAATAGTGATTCTCGACAAAGTTAGGCACAGCCTTTTGGGGATGATCAGACTAAGGCAATGGTGTGCATACCAGCAAAATAAGCTAACCGAAACACAAAAGTAATAGAGATGTAGGCTGTTGTGTGATTCCATATGGTCTAAAGTATGATTGGAGTTCATTCTCGAACACCTCGAGGCCAACCTCGGTAGGCATGCCCAAAATTGCACAGACGAAATGGTTCGCAGTGAACAAACGAGATGTAAAAGCAAGAGTTACGAAGATCGTTAGGGTGGAGGATGTGTTGGTGAGGAACTGGTCAGTTGAGGTTGTGGTTATAGGAGGGATCAGGGGAGTATAGCACGATGGCCAAGCAATGTAGCATTTTGAGAGTTGTGTTATGTCACGGCTCAAGTATGTACGAGTAGCTGGATACGCACGAAGATATGCTTAAACTTTGCGACAACTGGCGCCAGTCACCTTGCCAGTGCGTAGTAGGGGGCTGTGCCTTTAGTTGGTGGCCAGTCGCGAACGCCATGCCGCAGTGTCGAAAAATAGATATGGATAAGCGCCAATGATATTAGTTGGCACCTAGATTAGTGTGTTAAACAAATGCTGTCGAAATGGAGCTGAAACCAACACCAACCATACCAGCCATGGCTGTGGAGTAAATTTTGGTATATAGTTCCCTAATGGACCTGTACGGCACTATATGTTGTTTAGTTCATAACTAGCGCGAGAAAATTTGAGCCGTTATAACGTTGCCCAAATTTATTTTCTTGGCTAGCAACACCAAGACAACTTGATTCAGCATTGCAATGTGCATACTTACTCACAAGTTACTACCATAGTCCTGACCCATTGCTTGGCTCGCTAAATGCAACTTTATAGCTGCCACGCCAAAAGATAGGCATTTTGTTGTTAAGCATATTAGGATCGCTACCGTAGGAATTTAGCGTGCGGTTTCAAGTGTTGGGCGTGGATGCATTTAGCAGCGACCTACTCTATGGTTCAGTCACGGCATATAAAATGACGGCAATTGTGGACATGAGAACAAGTGGGCCACTACCAGCCCACGCTGTTTGGTGCCATGAGGTTTGGCATTAGGCAACCCAAATTTCAACACCGAATTCCAGACTTTCGTGTTCGACAGCGAAATGGTTAGAGACCCGTGGTTAGTTGCAACATGAAAGTGAAGTGGGCAGCTACCGCGGACGTGCGCTCAATGCTAACGGTTACGTATTGGTCCGCAGAGCCATTTCTCTCTGTTTGGTACACATGCAGTGCTCAGCTACCTAAATAAATAATTTTTCGCGACAAAGTAAGGCAAGGCTTTTGGGCATATATGTGGACTTCCATCTGGGCTGCCACTGTGACAATTGTGAGCTGTTCTTCAAGTTACCAACGCTTTCTCTTGTTGTCAAGTTAATAGTAATACGTTGTCTTCTATTGAGCTCATAGTAAAGACGGAAAGGTGGTGGTATTTTTGCACTCCGTTTGCCATCAAAAGGGCCAGTTAGCGCACTACATTCCCATCATGACGAAGTAAACGGACCCAAATTCTAAAAGTTGCGAGCACAATGAGTTTGCAACATTCAAAATTCGTAGCCGGAAAGCTTCAAAGAAAGCAGCTTTCATTTGAAGTTAAGGCACCTAGCCCGCAATTCGTGTGCAGTGGCTTACTTCAGTTTACCAGGAGACGTAAGCTGGCGCAATTGTATGGGAGCACCGCAGCCACCACTCAGTTTGGCGATGAGGACAGTATTGTAGGCTGATGCCAGGGACTCCAGTAGGTAAACGTCAAAGACTTGTTTTTCGCAACTTGTAAATAGCAAGCCTAGGGACAGTGGCCTGGGTTCACCGTTACTCGCAACGCCTTGTATATGGCATTTGTCGCATCGGCATGAAGTACTGTGGCGCCCAAAAGATGAGTATTATCTTCTAGGTAGATTTTCATCGCTGACTAATCACATTTTATTGTTTCTTGTTTTAATCTTCCTTACATCCGGTTCTACACTTGTCGGCTCTGTAAGCTATTGCGCTAACGTTCGCTCCTGTCTCGCCTCGCCAGTCCACGTCTTTTATAGCCCATCGACTATAGTCCGCGGTGTACGACTGCAATGGCCTTCTGCTACCTGCGATTAATTATGCGCACCGCCTCGTATTAGTATTTCCTAGTCATAAAGTAGCATGTCATTTTAAGTTGCCTCCATCTCACAATAGCAGTGGATAGGTCGGCATTCAGACCGCCGTATTCGAACACCAGTTATATTAGCTATGATTAAAAGTTGACTCTTGTGGGCTTGGTGATGTAACGGCCATTAGAAATAGCGGCACAGCGGCTGTAGTTAATTAGCATCAAGCGCCTCCCTGCACAGCTGAAGTGGTCTCAAATAGTGTTCCACCGTAAATAGATCTGCTGGAAATTGCTGGTTGCCCGTAGCTCCCTCACGAAGGTGCGATTATTAGCCGCCATTCTATCTATTCGTGTCTATTAGCTAGAGATGATGAGCCAAGACTAGAACCTAAGAACTATGGGAGTACAGTAGAACATGTGCCATAAGCCACCGGGTCGGGAAAAGCGAAATGTGAAAAACCGGTTATAGTAGTTTGCCTAACGAGACTCGGAGATTAAGCTGCGGATGCTTCTGTCGACAACCTAAAGATAATGGGTTAAAGTCGCCGTTCTTTTAGTTCTACTTGATGGATATAAATGTGTAAGAAAACGATCGTGAATGCTGTGTTGTCAGTAGGTTGTCTCAATAATCGCTTCTTACAGCTGCGGTCCAAATACCAAGCGGACCAAAATCCACGGTAACGCACCTCGCGCCCCTGCATAAACTTAATTATATACGAAGGAACTTACAATAAGTTAGCTTGAATTCCATTATATTCTTACTGTTGGGAAGCCGAACTGCCCCAAATTCACGGGTTAGTGCAAAGCACTACATTTATCACTCGTCCGACAATCGCCACTTATTAAATGCGAGGAAATACCAATGTGTCAGTAAAACAACCAGAACAACCGCCATGAATATGTGAAATGTCCACCTAGCATATGGAATAATTTTCATTCATCGCCCTATCCACATCACTTTATGCATGCAACGTTTTGTCTAACTGATGTCAAAGCATTTGGTTTAAGATTCTTGTCTTTACTCTTGGTCAAGTAGGAATACGCACCATGTGGAACCTCATGACCAACTAAACAATCCTGCCACTGTTTGGTGATCCAGTTTGTCACAATCGGTTGAATTTTCTACCGTCCCAACAAAATGGTGCAAGGAGAGACAACACACAGAGGGTTTATGTTTGGTCTTTTTGTGCTCTGATAGAAGCAAGGAAGTTATGAAAATTAAAGTAGAGATCGCTGATCTATTTACGGCATGAAAAACGCTCTACCATAGATATATTGACGTTGCCGGAGCGAATGGTCAACATCTATGTGTACTAGAGGATGCTGACGGATTGTAGGCATCATTAGACATGCTACCCGACAAGTCATTCAATTAGCAATTGCCCATAAATCGTGAGAAATGATCAGTTCTCCCCATAGGCGTTGCTGAACCGTTCGGGACATACCGTATTAGGAGGTGTTACTCAGAACCACCATGCCTGAGAAAGATCAAGGTGTGCTTGGCTCACATGCCTTACAAACCACAGAAGACATACTACGGCAGGTTGCCGTTGCCAGCTGGATGTCCCATGCCATACGGAGGAACTCCTCGAGATTGACTCCGGAACTCGTCAGAAGCATGTTTACTTCCAATGTGCGCCCGATCCTTGAATACAGAAGACTTACCCTCTGTCCTCTTACCAAGTTCGAGTGTGATATGATTGAGCAGGTCCAGCGGCGTGCTTCGAAACCTATACTGAGGTTAAGGGACAAGCCTTACCCTCTTCGACTGCGGCGGATGCGCTTGTTCTCCCTGGAAAATGGTCGAAGTGCAGGTGAGCTGATTTTTACTAGGCGAATTAAGATGGGAAAATAGGGATGGAGCTACAAGCGCCCTTTCAAGTCAGCACAAATAGTTTCACTCCGGGCACAACTGGAAATTATTTAAACTCAGAAGACTCAAAGTTCGCTCCACTTTCGCTCTTAGAACCCGCATTGTAAATGAGTGGAACTACTTGTCGAAACATGTGGTCGACGTGCAGACTGAGAAGTGTTTCAAGCGATTGTTGAATTTTCACTTGACCGGAGCTGGGTCCTTGCTGCTTCCAATGTAGCTGTTACGGTTCCTTGTGGAATAACGTCCCGTAGGGACTCAGGGCATCGACGCAATGATCGCGAGTTGAAGGAGCTGACAAAGGACTTATCTGCTCTCTACAATCCAACGATCCGATGATCTAATTAAACGCATTGCGAATTCTGCGTGGTTTTAGCACTGGCGGCTATCATTTAATTGCAAAAAAGCTATTCTCGGGCAAAGCAAAACGCATTCTTGGCATGAGTTATGTTACCTATTATCATTAAGAAAAATTCGATACTTTTTGTTGCTTTCTGTTTTTTAGAATTTGTAAGAAAAATGCTTAGTTGTCTAACTTCAAACATTACCTTGGCTCTATATTCCCTTTACTATATGCTGATTTGTCAAGGACGCAAAACGGTACACTTTTGAAATATTTTTAATGATGTAGCCAACGATGTTCCCGTTGCTTCCATCACTTTGCTACATATTTTCAATAACCTTTGGCGCGTATGGTCTTTGTAGTGACCCAAGTATGAGTCTTATATTGTACTTACTGGATAAAGTTCTTTTTCGAGCGGAAGTTTCTAAACCTCGATATGTAACCTGGGTCAATAATACCATCACGCTAGCTTGCCCAGCTGAAATATATGTAGGATGCAATAAACGTTACTTTTTGTAGGATTGGTCTATTTGGTACTCTTCTCGAGCTGTATATAAGATGACGATTGGATGCCAACTGAACACTGCTACCAGCCTTAATTTCGACTGGTTTCCTGATGTGCCGCAAATCATGTAAGTTATACTTTATCGATTTTACGGTTTACTAAGATCCATTTTTCGATCGAACATTACAGGACTGCAAAATGTCTGTGTGTTTTCTACGTCGAATGGAGTCTTGAAGGCAGAAATGTTACCAGCTGAAAAATTTGATTCTGAAACCTACACACATTCCTCCGTCATATATTACCAACCAAAGGAACTGACGCCAATAAACTTTTATATTTGTAAAAAGGTTTGTATACCGCATGTCTCTTTATACGTCATAAGTGGTAAACTTGCTCATTTTATTTCCGGATTATTACGGTAGTTTCAGTGGATATTAACATCATAAGAAATTCTAATCCCATTATTTATCACATATTTTTTGTATCTTTTGCACACTACTTACTGTACTTTAAGTTGTAAAGCATTTTTACTTCTGATTAAACCGGTTTCCAAAAACTATTACGTGATTAATTCCGTATCTTTTCTATTGAGCCACTTTTGGCGTTTGGAACGTCCCGGACTCTATTAAGTTTTGTAAAATAATTTTGGTAGACAGCTTAACCAATGTGTATCAATGCCTTATACATTTCTTTCACTCAAATCCAAATATTCTGTAGCAATGGAAATTATTTTGCTTATATTATCATCACCTTTCCTTAGCACCTCAATACTGCGCAGCTCGTAGTTTGAACTATAGTCAGTTGCTTGTCTGATTGCTTGATATTGACGAAAACTGCGCGTAACTTACTTCTCATTAAGCTTCTAATATTGCGTATGTTTATAACATTATGCCATCTACCATTTCGCTATATCACTACTTTACCCTCAGTGACTGTACTACCATAAGTTCGAATTATTTTTCTGAACAAAGGATAAAAAACAGTAGCATTACGTCGAAACGCAGTATTGACGATTTACTACCGCGCAAACCACAATAGTTTAGCGTGGGATAAGGATACTGCGTCAGTCGCGCGGTCCTTTACGCAGACTCGAACCCGCGCCCATTAATTACTATACTGGCGCGTGATTCTTAAGGCCACGGCCCATTACGAACGTATGTCTCTATTTTTGGGCTTAAAAAAGGCAAAACTTGCATTCTCTTGTCATATATGCTACTGTTATTTTTAAAGACTAGCACGTAGACACCCTTTTAATAACATATTTTGGATTCTATCATTCTCGCACTTTATCACAACATGGCACAAATGATGTAAATGGTTGGTAAAATGATAAATTTGTAAAAACCTTAAGAGCTCTAAACATACCTGGAACAAATACTCGGCAAAGTTACTGGAAGAATTAAAGGAGATAATTTCAAATGGGCCACCAGAAGTAAATCACTGTAAAATTTCATTCATAGGTTCAAAAAGCATGCGAGTGCATTGTTTTCACTTTGCCACAGAATAACTTCCCAACTGCAAGAAATAATCAAAATTAGCAAAACCTTGATATTACTTCTTTAAATCTATATGCTTGTTTCATTTTTCAGCTTTACATTTCGGTTCAGTCTTTTATTCTCGTGTAGATTGTTTACAAGCTGCTCAAAATGTAGTTGGAGACAGAGGTAAAAAACTTTTAAGTTCTTTAGTTTTGAGTTTTGAGTTTTACTATTTAATATCACTTCTTAGCAACTGTACGCGTAAGTTTAGTTAGCTGCTTGCGGCTTGTGCAGCAAAACGCAGGTACTGGTTGCAAGGAGAACTAGTAGGAACCAGTACAGATAACAATTATTCGGTAGTAAATACGTAGCCGGGTCCAACGTGTAGTGTAAAGAACTGCAATGAACTAGAAGTAAATTGGCAAGAGCCCAGAGCAAGGTTGAGTACGAATCACAGAGAGTTCACAAGTGGACTAGAGGAGCCGTCAGTAAAACAAATGGAAGATCGGAAGATACAAACAATAATAAATACTAATGTCACAAAATACTGAAAGCCTAAGTGTTTCATGTTCACTACCGGGGTCTTCCCCTGGAAGGCTGAATGTGAGAAGTCTACGCTAGAGCTGTCAGATGGGGGGGAATGTGAGGAAGGGAAAGTAGAGTAGTAGTTGCAGTAGGCGCAATCGGACAAAGATGGCGCGCGTGAAGTTCCTTGGGTCCTGGCTTCATTGTTATTTCCTATTAATTATTTTGGTATGGACTATAATGTATCATCGGTGGGCCGTCGGGGCGGGCTGGTCGGACTAAAAAAATACTGGGTAGTCCAGAAAAGTGGCCGACAGGACATTTTCTCCGCTGCGGCCCGCCGGTGCGCTTGAACGACGTCACTCTTCCCATCTCACTTGGAGTCTATGGCCGTAACGATTCTCGTTCCGCGGAGAATCCCGAACGTAGTCATTTGTGAGCAGAGCAGTCGTTGTGACACCGGTAGTGGGGAGCCGCGGTCGCTTGGAGCCAAGATTATGAACCGGAGGCTCCCGGTAGGGGGAGTCAGGGGATTCCGCGGTTTCTAAGGGGACGTGAGTTTTGAATGTAAAACCCAGAGGAAAGGTGGAACATGGTCGGGGTAGGCGGCGTGATGCCATATGGATAACGATACAAGTATGCGAAACAATTAGATGTGCACTATATTGTTTTTTTTTGTAAAAAGTGGGATTTTAGATTTTTTGCCGTTTTCCAAAACGTTTATGAAGGAAACACATGCTTACCATTAAATGTGGAAACTACGCATGTAAAGTAACATAGCAATGGTTAACAAAATTTGAAAAGCGGATTCGACGTTTGACCTGTCTATCGCGCTGATCAGTAGCCTTTGATTGGGGCTGGGTTGGCGGAGTGTCAAGGGTAACAGTGTGGTCTAAGGTGCATGGTGCACAAGATGCAGCTGCTAATAACTTTACCCTTGCGTGTGTACTATGTAAAGTTGGGGGCGGCTCTTCGAAAAATGCTACTTTAAGACGGTTGATGGACACCGTTTTTCGGCGACCATTCTGGTTTAAGTTAAAATGCTTAAGAGTTCCTTGGAGAGCTCTGAAGCGGCCGCTGTAAAGAGGCTAAAGGAAGCGACGCACTGCATCTGTGCGGACCAATACGTGAGTGCAGGTAAAGTGTCCGCTGTGCATTTGCACATCTATGGTCCGCTCACGAAAAGCTGTCGAGCGCAATGCGTTGAGAAAGGGAGGCTACAAAGTTTGGCAGTGGCGTACAGGTTTGGAAGGGACAAAATGAACTTTCGGACAATTCGAAGGAAGTGATGACGGCTGTTTTAGGTCCGTTACCTTCTTCGACAGGTATCTGATGATGAGCATGAACAAGATCGATCTTGCTGAGGACCGTCTTACCTGTAAGGCATGCAGTAAGGTTTTGCATTTGTGGGATAGGTTTTCTAGCGTGGATAGTAAGCTTATTTATTACCCTGTAGTCACCGCAAGGACGCCAGTCTCCAGGTTTATTTGGCAGTATCTGGAGTGAAGAGGACCAAAGACTGTCTAAAGGGCGGGTTATTCCAAGTTCGAGTATGTGCTCAGTATCCGCTCTAGCTAGCTTGAGTATCGCCGGCGAAAGACGGATGGATGGGACGGGTAGGCCGTTAGTTCGAATATGGTACGTGACTTGAGGTGCCATGGGCAGAGCTGCGTTCATTAACTGAACGAGCTTAGGGTAGTGCGAAAAGTTCAGCGTAATCTGGAGAGGTCTGTGGGCGAAAGTAGACTGGAGTGATGGCTGAGATGCCGGCGTTGGTGCTAGTGACGCTGAATGTCGTTGTAGGGTCGACTATCCTTATTTGTTTCGCATCGATCAAGAGGTAGCAATGTCTAAGGAACTCTATGTCAATGATGGCAAACGGAACGTCCGCAATAATTAGCACCCAGCAAAATGTTCTAAGAAGACCCAACTTTGGGTTAAAGTGCGTTGGTCGTAACTAGGGATGAGTGTGCTTTTGGCGACCTGAAGGCTGAGAGTAGACGACCGAGTCGCCTCCCCTGGTGCTGGTGGAACCACGCTTGCTTCAACCCGGTATCAACCAGGAACGCGGTTCCAGATTTGCAGTTCTGGACGTAAAGGAGGCTACTGTTGGAGAGGTGGTTGGTGACATTACTGGTAAGTACTTTGGGGCTTGGAAGGTTCCCAGACTGCGTCGTGGGGAAGTTGCAAGGTGTAGTACACTGCTTCACTTGAGGACCAATACGGCAGTGATAGCAACATAGGTTGTTAACTGGTAAGCTGCTGCGCTTGGCCAACCTGATCCTAGTTACCGGCGAGTTATCATGTGCTGTAGGAGAATAGAGAGTGCTGTGTAATGCCTCTGGTTGGTTAAGTACTACGGCAAGCTCAGATGGAGGCGCCGCATGATATCTGCAGGCACTAAGTGGCTACTGAGACGCGTTATGGCTATTCGGCCGATGTGTAGCGGGTGGTGTTGCCTAATCTACTTCCTTAGAAAGCTGATCTATGATCGCGTCAGCCGGTTGCGCGGCTAGAGTGAGGAAAGTGACCTTGGCGAATATGACGATAGCTTGAGCTATCTCGGGTAGGTGCTGAAGCCAAAGCTCTAGCAGAATGGAGCCCTCCGTTGAGTACGAGCCGAGGTGTCTCCTTATCTCATTTACTAGGCCGGATGGCCTTGCGTCTACTAAATGCAAGATAAGGAATAGGTGTTTGACTCGCGTACTTGCTAGTTGTTTCGGTCAGGTCACGATTTTCTACTTAAGAGACTCATAAGAAAGATCCGTATTTGGGCTCATAAGTGTGTTCCAGAGCTGTAGTGCAAAGTCTCTAGGAAGGTCACCTAGCAAATGACTGTATTTGGATTGGTCGTAAATTATATTATGACTCTATATTATGACTCTAACAAAACAAACCAACAAGTAGGATCATCAAATAAAATAAGGGGGGACAGAAAGCGACGCGACACTAATAGCTGAGCCAAAATGTTGGTATCTGAGTAATCTGTAGAACATCAACAAATATTAGTTAGAACAGCGCAGTTCAAAGCAGAAAAGGAGCCAGCTCATGAAAAGTGATTTTGACGATGGCGGAACCGTGCTCCCACTCGGGGTCACTAGTTGTGGAGCGGAACTCAGGTACTGGTTGCGAGGAGAACCACTAGTAACCAGTATGGATAACAATTATTCGGAGGTGAATACGTAGCCGGGTCCAACGTCTAGTGTAAAGAACTGCAATGTATTAGAAATAAATTGGCTAGAGCACAAAGCAAGGTCGAGTGCGGATCACAGAGAGTTCACAAGTGGATTAGAGGGGCCGTCAGTAAAACAAATGGACGCTCGGAAGATACAAAAATACTAGAA